AGTCTTAAAATAGTCTTAATTAAAATACAGAGTGAATTCTGTTTCTTTGACAGGACCTTAACCAAAATACTTAGGACCCATGAGAGAGAGAGAGAGAGAGTGTGTGTGTGTGTGTGTGTGTGTGTGTATACGTGTACATGTGAGTGTTTATGGTACGTCCATGTGTGCCATATATGTATATGCACAGTACGTGAAGAGGTCAGAGGTCAATGTTGGGTGTGGTCCTCCACTGCTCTCCGCCTTACTTTTCTAGGCCAGGGTCTCTCACTGAACCAGCCTGGCTGTCTGATAAACTTCAACTCTTGGTTCTCTCTCTACCACATTCAGCTCCTTCGAGTGTTGAGGCTACACATGAGAGGCACAGTGCCTAGGTCTTATGTGGGTGCTAGAGATCTAAGAGTCTCACGCTTGTGTGGAGGATGCTTTACTGTCTAAGCCATCCCCATAGCCTCCCCTTCTGCCATTAAGTTTTGTAATTCTCCAAATAGGCTGAAGTAATGGTTGGTCCAGAGAACTGTTCACTATAGCATAATAAAGAACACTAAGGAGTTATGCTCCATTTTGCTAGTCAGACATCAGCCACCCAAATCTGAAATCAGTTTATGAACACTAAGATTGGAGAGACGTAGTTTGGCCTCTTTGGATACTTGAGACATGCTCAGTAAGCTCCCTTCTTCTCCAGCTTCACATAGTCTTCACATGACTCATGAAGCCCCTCCCCAGCTTCTCATGGTCCAGGTCCTTTCTCCTTTGGTGGGTTTCATCTTAAATAGTATCACCAAGTAGGCTTTTCTGACAGCACTGTCAGAAGCTATACATTTACCCACACTAGTATCACATATAACTTGCTTTGTGCCTTTGTGTCATACAATAAAATTTTTATTTACAAACTTGTCTGTTTCTTGACTATATCTATCTCTTCATAGGAAGGTAAGAGCCACAGGAGGGGCTGTCATCCGATACCCAGCAGCTACACAGTGCTTTAGGCTCAGGAACAACTCATAAAACCTATGGAATAACTAAGCAAAAGTGCTTTGACTCACGTCTCATACATCCTCTTTGCCACTGTTTTGGTTTTGGTTTTTTGTTTTCACCCTGATGGCTTGGAGGATGGGACCATAGAAAGTACAGAGCTTAAAATCAGTACACGTCAAGTACGGGATTTGTCTTTGGCATGCCTTCCTAAATCTCACACTGTACATCTCTACAAATGTTATACTACAAGTTAAGAACATAATTCAGCATTTCACAGGGAAAATTAATCATTCTTATAGGTAACTTTGACTTGATCTTAGTGTCTATGCATCTCAGAGGTGATTTAAAATATGGAAATAGGATGAAAGAGAAATAAGGTACATTTTATTACAATACTTCCTGGTTTTTGTTGTTGTTTTTTTTTTTTTTAAAGTAGTACACTTTTTACTTTTAGTCAGATACCAAAGACTATAGTGGTTTGAATAAAAAATGTCCCTCATGGTCTTGGGAATTTAAAACTTGCTTTGCAGCTGCTGGTGGTGTTTGCGGAGGTTTAGGGGTGCAGTCTTGTTGAAGGAAAGGCATCACTGGGAGAGGGCTTTGCTATGTAAAGTCTCACACTGCTTCTCATTCCTCATCTCTGCTTCCCACGTCTAGTTCAAGATATGAGCTCTCAGCTCCTGCTCCTGCCACCATGCTCCCTCCTTGTTACCATACCTTCCTTCTGCCATCATAGGCTTTGTATCCCTCTGGAACCATAAACTAAGATAAATTCTGTCTACCTTAAGTTCCTTTTGATCATGGTGTTTAATCACAGTGACAAGTTACTGATCTTCTACAGTAAAATTAAGCTCCTGGCCGCCTTTACAACTCAGTTAAGACTTACGTTTTTCATCTGTCAGTCTTGTTGAACAAAACTATTTAGTCATCTATTTAAAAGTGATGCTACTAAGAAAAATCCTATGGCAGTTTGGAATCTTTCATACACAAGAAGCAGCTATTGCATTGCGTTAGGATAGGAGCCTTTCTCTCTAGCTGTTTCCATGTACAAGTCGGGGACCGGCTTTTTCTCTCTAGACATTTTTCCTTATTCTTTCCTAATGATTACATCAGGGGTCCCCTGGGCCTCTGTGGTAAAAGGGACAAAGCAAAGGAAAAGGGTAATTTGGAACTATCAAATGCCAAGGGAAAAAGAGTCATCTCTTGGCAACAAAACCATTCATGTTCCCAGTGTTCTCACTCTCATATCTTCATGAATTCTGACGGCAGCGTAAATTGGTCTTTTAAAGTCATCAGTATTTGCCCCTTGGTAGCATTTACCTACTTTTTCAGGTTAAAAGCAGTTCACACTCTATGAGATTGCTTACACTGTAGTGCAATGTCCTTTGCACATGTTAAGCCGATTCCAGATTAATAGCATTTCACTCAGTTTTCATTTATTATTATTGTATTCAATACTGATTGGCGAATAATACTGCTTTCCTTATTTACAGACATAAGCAATCTTCTATATAGTGGTGCCTCTCAGCTTACAGATGCTAAAAAGTCTATCGTATTTTTATTCCAACGATTGATCTAAAGATGTGTCAACCAAAGAAGATAACAATAGATGGCATTAGAATTCTCCATTATTTTTGTGGCTTTTTTTTTTTTTTTTTTTTTTTGAGATAGGGTTTCTCTGTATAGCAGGCTGTTTGTCCTGGAACTAGCTCTTGTAGACCAGGCTGGCCTCAAACTCCCAGAGATCCATTTGCCTTTGCCTGAGTGCTTGGATTAAAGGTGTGTGCCACTACTGCCTGGGCATTTCTGTGGCTTTTTAAAAGTAGTCCTTATTCATGAAATCCGGTGTTTGAGGAAATAAACTAAAACACTCAAACCAAGGGTATCCACAAAGCATCTCTACATTTCATGTATATGTTTCTAAAACTGTAGTTATCTCTCTTTCTTTTCTCTAAAATCTAGTAAAGCCTATGAAGACAGGTATTGCTCCCTTTGCTTTGCTTTTTTCATTGATTTTTATTGAGCTCTACATTTTTCTCTGCTCTCCTCCCTGCCTCTCCCCTCCCCTTCAACCCTCTCCCAAGGTCCCCATGCTCCCAATTTACTCAGGAGATCTTGTTTTTTTCTACTTCCCATGTAGATTAGATCTATGTATGTCTCTCTTAGTGTCCTCATTGTTGTCTAAGTTCTTTGGGTTTGTGATTTGTAAGCTAGTTTTCTTTGCTTTATGTTTAAAAACCACCTATGAGTGAGCACATGTGATAATTATCTTTCTATGTCTGGGTTACCTCACTCTAAATGATGTTTTCTAGCTCCATCCATTTTCCTGCAAAATTCATCATACACTACTCATATATTATTAATAAGGGCTTGTGATTTTTAATCATAAACGTCTTATGATTTTAGCACTTATTGATAAAATTGAGTTGGATCATCATTTGAATATATCCCAGTTCTAAACATTTGAGTTCTATACATGTTAGAGCAGTAATAACTGGGTGAGATTATTTTCAACACTCAGAACCACGAGGCACATAGTTCACAGCTTTCATATGAGTCCAGAGGGTGGAGGAAGGACAAACACAGAGCCATACAGACATACTATCTTCCTGGAACATCAGTCTTACTTTGAGATTTGGGGAAATCAAGCTTGGATATTTCTCTTCAAATGCAAGTACATTAGAAAAATTCCTGTTTCTCAGTGTGTGCCTTCAGCTCTGCTCTCAGAAATCAGGACTATTCCCTGGCACCACTAAGGGAAGAATCAGCTTCCGATGAGCAAAGGCAGACATCCCAGCTTTCTGAAGCCATCAGGCAGCATTACATTATTTTTTTTTAATTTTTAAGGTGTGTATGCATGTGTGCATGTGTATGTGTCTTCTGACAGAGACCAGAAGAGGATTGTTGGTTTCTCTGGAGCTGGAGTTACAAGTGGTTTTGTGGTCTAGAAAATAGTGTTCTTAGTTGCTGAGCCGCCCCTCCAGCTCCTCTACAGTACTCTTCTATAGGGCTCTTGAGTTAGTCTCGGCCCAGAGATCTTAACACACTCTGATCGGTTCACTGCTTCTTCCTAGAATTTATTAGAGAGTAAGTAGGGCTGATTTTTAAAGCATCGTAAACAGGTCCAAATGTCTCGCTTTCTACAATTTTGTAGACTTTCTCTTGTTTCTTGATCAGGATAATGACCAACAGTTTTTTCTTGTTTTTTCGAGACAGGGTTTCTCTGTAGCTTTGGAGCCTGTCCTGGAACTAAACTAGCTCTTGTAGAGCAAGCTGGCCTTGGACTAACAAAGATCCTCCTGCTTCTGCCTCCCGAGTGCTGGGATTAAAGGCGTGCGCCACAACCGCCGGCTCAAGGTTTTGGCTTTTAGAGATCCAAGTTTCACACAGCCTAACCCGCCAACAACGACCTTGAATTTAACAGCCTGCTGTTTCCACCTCCCAAGGGCTGGGTGGGCTCACCGTTTCAGCTGGGCACCACCTTGTCAGGCAAATATTTTTAAAAAGATACAAACTTCAAGTATGGGAAGAAGTGGCTTGGAACGGAAGGAGGAAGAGGATGAGGAACAACTACCACCACCAGTGGGCGGCAGTCAGATTTTTGTGCTCAGAAGAGACTAAAACACACCCTGATATATAAACATTTAATCACAACATTTTAAAATCCACATGGAACAGAGCGATCCTGTAAGTTATTTATTTATACGTTATACTCCAAATTAACTCAGCCATCACCAAATACCTCAGAAACAAATTGCCAGGGCCTTGCTTATTTATGTATGTATTTATTTATTTATACTCCTAATTAACTCAGCCATCATCAAACATTGTGTAAATCAAGAAAAGTTTATATATTTTTTAAAACGGATCTGGAGGGTAATTTTTTTTTTTTTTTTTTTTTTTTTTTTTTTTTTTTTTTTTTTTTTGCTTAATGAATTACAACGCTCTAACTAAAAGGGTTACTTTAAATTTCAGAAACACAAGAGGCACAGGGGTGCACAGGGGTGCAAAAGGAGGTCAGTAACAGGCCTCCTCCCGGGGTGGGCTGGCATGGTCCTGTGGTCCGGAGGTCGCTCGGAAAAGGCCCCCCTGGCCCACGCCTGCTCGGGGAGGTGCGGGAGGGACCCTCCTTCCTCCACGCCAAGCGCACCAAAATTTAATCACAGTCAAGGAGCAGATGGTGCCCAACTCAGCAGCGAGGCGGCCCTCCCTGACCCGGAAGTGCTCAGCGGCCTCGGAGAGGACGCGCCTGAGCCGGCGCGCGCGCGCGCCCCCGCGGAACTCCCGCCGGCGGCTGGGCTCTCCCGGAGGCGCGCCGGATCGCGGCGGCCGCCAACATGGCCGAGACGAGCGAGGAGGTGGCGGTGCTGGTGCAGAGGGTGGTGAAGGACATCACCAACGCTTTCCGCAGGAACCCGCACATGTGAGTCGCGCGTCCTGAGCCGCCGGGGTCGTCGGGGGCGGGCCGGTGCCGCGCTCTAGTCCACTCGCGGCTGCCGCTCGGGCCCCACGCGCGCTTCCGACAGGCGGAGCGCGGCTGGGACTGTCGCGCCGGGCCGGCTGGCCGTTACCAGGACGCGTGGCGGGCCGGTGTTGGGAAGCGACCTCCGACAGCCACGTCGGAGCGTGGAGTTTCCTGCCCTGCCGGGCGCGTCCTGGGAGTTGTGACAACTCTTCTCCCGGCCGCCCTCCGCCTGGGCGCGCTTGCTCCGCGGGCCACCGCTGTGGGTCTCTGTGCCTTGCAGTCGGCTCTCGGTGGCATCCCCCGCGAGACTCTAGAGGGTCACCCACCCCATCAGACTCCCCGCAGCCCCCTTTCAGGTTACTGAAGTTGACTGGGAGCTGCTTTTGACTTTTCCCCTCACTTGTCACAAAATTGCAAAGCTAGTCAGATGTAACAATTTTTGAAGGTGACCTGGGTGGATCTCTCCTAAAGCTGTTGCAAACTGGATACTTTTTATCAGAAGCGCGTTGGAAGTTACAGACGAGCATCTTTTGGCATTCTTCCCCAGAACTGTTGCCCTCTCTAAGTTCACTGAAGGACTGACATCTATTCTCCTCCCTTTCCGTTTACTTGTTATTCTCTAGGAAGACACTCTGAAGATTTTATTCTTTATAGCACTTTGCCTTCAACGAATGAGAAGAAAACCACGAAAGAGTTACCCTCATCACAGAAGAATCAGAAAGAAGCAAGAGTGTAGTCCATTTCCCCTCCCCTCTCTCCTGGGGAAACAAACATGGGAGTCTAGTTTTGTATTATTTTTTTCTTTGAGTCTACAATTTATTTTTAATATTCTTTATCTTTTTTAACTAGAGCACATGGATTATTTTTAAACACTTCTGCCTCCTTCGCTTTTCCGACTAAATGAAAGGCCAAACCTACATTTTAACAAACTGTCCTTTTTCCTCCAAGGTAGTGTTCATAAAGAATTTAGCCGTCCTCGGACGGCCTGCTCCCTTGTGGCAATTAGGGGCTTAAAACTGTACTTCACTAAAGACAAAAGACTGCTGGCCTTAAAAACATACCTGCCAGCTCTGACAGTTCCTGAGTCTTCTTCCTCTCCTCTTTTGACTATTGACTTTTTTCAGAATGAATGTTTGGAGTGATTTCCTGGCAGTAGCCATAGTGGCTACTGGGCCTTTTAAAGAATGCTTTGAAGTCTTGTGTGTCAGTCTTTGAGGCCCTTTTTGAGAATTCCAGCCACAGTGTGAAGAGACATCCTTAAAAAAAAAAAAAAAAAAAAAAAAAAGTTGGGCAAATGAAAGGTTTATTTTTCATCATTGTTTTTTTTTCTTTTCTTCCAAATGAAATTATAGCAAAGGTTAGAGGTCCAATACAGTAAATCACTCCAGTTTCTCATCTTTGAGGTAGACTAAAATTATATTTGGCAAAACTAAGATTAGGCTAATGGGTTAGGCAGGTTGACTCGGTGCCGTATGGAGCAAGTGTCTGTTTTTCTGGATCACATTTACCAGAACTCTTAAAGGGCCCCTTCTTCATATTTTTACTCTGCAGTCTCATTAATATATACTGTATCAAAACTTATCATTATTTGTAAATATTTGGGTCATTTGAGATAAGGAAGTTTAAGCTAAGTTAGGCACCTGAAATAATGAGTTATGTAAACTGTGAACATTTAAATAGCTCAATTCATTATTTAGCATTTTCAGCAGCTGTATTTCAGTACGCATTCCCTACGGTAGAAGTGTCTTCTAGCTATCATCTTTTAAAATGTCTTGTATGTTGGACCTTTCAGAAGTGCCCGTATGTCTTTACTCAGTCTGGCCTTTTCAGACTCAGAAAAGCTGTTGGTCTACTTTTTAAATAACCGGTGTCTGTCTTTAAGTTAGCATCTAATAACAATATTTACAGAAGTTTTTCATTATTTGCCTTTCATTTTCCCCTTTCCTCCAGTGTGAGATATATTGCTCATTTATTTGTTAACATCTACTTCTGTGAATATATTGATTTGGTTTCTGTAGAATATCTACCTGAAGCAATCAAAGGTTCAATAAGAACTAAGAATGATGTTTCTATCAGGTATGGATTGGTTTTCCCCTGGCTCCGCGTCTTCTTAGTTTGTAGGGCTAATGAGAATTCAAAGCGCTGGAGTTAACCTTGGCTCCTCCACTCCTGGCCAGAACACTTTGCAAAATGGAAAACACAATACAGATATTGTTTTGTAGGAGACCGGGAATCCTATTGGGTTCCCTGCAATTAGTGGTTTGACCCAGAAATATTTATTACCATGAGGTATAGACTGTGCCTTAATGTGAAAGACAGCTATCTGCTGTACAGCCTAATTAGGCCATCAGGTTAATAGTCTCTTATTCAGCAAATTGATTTGTTTTATTGAATATGTTGATTTGAGGAGCAGTAGGTACCATATTCACTGTATGAGACAAGAAGTACAAATATAGTTTGCACTGAAGCCAAATTTCTGGTGCGATTGAGCTGTGCATCTGCTATATTAGCCATGTGTAGCTGTGGGACACTTGGAGTGTACTTACTGTGAATGAGAACTGAACTTTTGATTTCAAGCATAATTATACTCATAATAAGTGAGTACTATGTTGTGTAGTGTGGTCTTAGTGGACACCTAAGACCTAACCTACATGAACAGTAAATTAACTCTACACCATAGTTCTTAGTGAAAGTGTGTTTTGGAAGAGAAGAGAGACTGGGTGTGTCCTAGGGGAGGGAGCTTTTAACGCGAACGTCAATGTCTAGGTAGGACTTACTGTATCAGGAGAAACTGGGAGCAATACATTGATCAAAAGCAGCAAGGTGTGATTGAAAAGATTCCACAGGAACGGGTTATAGAAGTCCTTGACCGTAGGGCCTAAGTGTGGAATTCATGTGTACAGCAAAAGAACACTCCCATTTGACAGGCAAAATGCTAGTCTGGGGATAACTGTATAGGGAGCTGAGCATATAGATTAGTGCACAGTTGAGAAAGGATTCCTTAATGGAATTTCAGACCAGTCAACATACACTTATGAAAGGAGACAGAAAGGGTAGGAGTGACATGAACAGTGATGCCCAGAGACTTTATTTGGATTACAGGGTCTCAGATAGAGACACAAGGAAGGATGCCCATCTCATCAGTAGGGAGGCCCCACAGAAAACTGTTAGGTCAGGGAATAATATTGAAACACAGTTTAAAGTTGCCTACAGGTGGCAGAATATGAAACCACAGAATATAATGGTCTTATACATGTGTTTTACACATTTAAATGATAGTGTAGTTATTTTTTAAATTTTGTTTAGAATTTGAGGCCTGGATTTGAACCTTGTCATTTGCTAATTTGATATACTTAGATAAGTCTGTCTTATCTATAAAGTGAGGCAAAGATTTCTTTTTTACTGTAAATTATTGTGTAAACACAGAATGTGTCATGCAATAAACAATAAATGTCAGTTCCTGTTTCCTAAATAATGTCAGTAATAGTTTCAGTAGTACAGAAAGTAATCTTTAAAATTAGTGAGGAAGCCTATTAGATCTCTGAAACATCTTCAATATCAGTCAAGTTTTAATTATTAATATGCAAGTGTCAGTTTCTGTGGGTATTTTTCTTTTGGGTGATTTTAGAAAGAATTTCAGCATATAAAACAAAAATAGCTATTCAGTAAAGATGTTTATAAGATTTCCTGAATCTGGGCCATTTTCTGTTCAGTTGTAACACTGTACAGAGTTCATGTTTAGTATTGGGGAAAATGCATCCTGCTTAGAAGCAGAAAAGTAAGCTGTAGATGACAGTTGTTGTTTCTGCAGCATACAGACAAGAGAAGCTGCTGCACATTGACATCCTGGACTCCATTGGCTGTCCACTGTGAAGTGAGACCCCAAACACCTGCAGTATCCTGTGTGTGACCTGCAGTGAAGGTGCTGATCCATCCCATGTTGTCCGTGGAGTAGTCCCTCAAGGCACCTACATTGAGCCTTGTTGTACCTGTTTGAGAAGATTAAAACTTTTGCTGCTCCTGACCTCAGTTTCTTCGGAAACTCCTCAATCTGATCGTGCACAGAATATTTACCTGAGCAAATGGTTAAATACAGGACTCTAAGTTTCTAGAAACTTAAAATTATGGGGAGAGGAGTTTTGTGGTAGTGAAAGACGCAGAAGCGCCTCATAAGGCTTTTTCAGGAGGAATAATTGGAAATTATCTGATGCTTATAGTCATTTATAGTCATTTGAAATGTCAATCATGTAGGAGAGCTTAAATGTTAACGTCTAGGTTTTGTCAAAAGTCTGTGTACGATGTGATTTCCCTTTTTAAAAATACTTGAGAAGGGCAAAAGACATGTACTCAAACATTATTACAGATTCAGCCTTTTAGTTTTATTTTGCCTGCGTTTTCTACATTTTGGGTATGAAATTGTAATTTAAGATGGAGACCCAGATTCTTAAGATAGCTGCTAGTAATGCCAACTTCCAGTAATCCCCTGAAGCTCAGTGCACCTCAACTGATAAAAGGAGAGATGCAAGGAGAATGAGCTTCCTCCTCTCATTTAAAAATGATTTAGAATTCTAAATTGCCTAAAAAAATTAGACAGTAATCTAAAGGAATAGAAGCAAACCTAAATTGAAACATTCTGTTGTTCTGAAGCTTATGGACCACATATCTCTAAAGAAAATGCTGTGATTTTGTAGAAGTAACAAAATACTGTATCTTAGGGTCAGATAACTTGAACAAAGGATTAAATTTTTCTTCTCAGCCCTCTATCACCCACTAACCAGGAAGCTTGACATTGATGACCTCAGGCTGCTAAATGAATTGATAACCTTTATGTATGCCGAGCACTTCATAGTTTGCCACATTCTTCACCTTTGGTTTTCATAACAAGCAAGAAGATATTATATGTCTATATTTCTGATGAGCGGTCCAGAGGTAAATAACCTGACACATCACACTGGCCATTGGTGGTAGAAGAGAGACTAGCTAGTCAGGGGCTGTTATCAAGGGCTTTTGTCTCTACAGTACTGTGTCTTTTCATTCTTTTTTTTCTTCAAAGGTTTACATCCTTATGACTCTTTCATTCTCTTTACGTGGAAATAGGTGTCAAGTTTCACTGTATACAATTTGAAAGCTGAGTACACTCTGGCCCATTTTCTTTACTAGAGATGAAATAGAGTCTACCTGTTTTCTGATGGGGAGAGGTCTGCCGAGGCTAAAGTTGCATGTTAGATGACCTGTGCTGTTCCCAGTACAGTGTATTACAAAGAGCAGAGGTGATATTCTCCTGGAATGACCTTTGAAAGCTGTGTAAATGTCACTGAGGAGCAAGGATGACCATTCATTCAAATGCAGTTACTGAGCACTGCTGTCCCCAAGGCCCTTTGTTTTTTGAAAGTTTCTTGGAAGGGTAGCCTGCCACAGTAGTGTGTGTGTGTGTTTAATTTTATAGATGACTTTGTCCTATAATTTAGGCACTAAATTAGTACTTGGACATTTTATATCTAGTACAACTATAGTGAGCAAAACTTGTTTTTAACATTGTGAGTTTTAAAATCTTCCCAAACTGTATATCTGGAAGCTGGGATTCTTTTATTCTTGCTAATGTAACATGTTTTTAGCTTCTAGAATTCCTTGAAGTGTTACAAGTAGTTATTAGATCTCAGAGAACACAATCTCTTGAGTAAATTGAGGGGTTGCTTTTTTCATTTGGTTTTGCTAATTTTAGGTTATTCGTTTTTTGTTTGTTTGTTTGAGACAGGATCTCACTGTATAGCCCTGGCTGGCCTGGAATGTACTATGTAGACCAGGCTGGCCTTGAACTCACAGAGATCCTCCTGCCTCTGCCTCTCAAGTGCTGGGATTGAATGAGTTATTTTTCTGTTCTTAGGTTATTTCCTAAAGTGTTCAACTTCATATAGGCATGCTTTGAAAACTTGAGTATTGATGAGGTGCTCTCTCAGGATTTTCCCCACAGAGCATCCTTGGAACCAAGTGTGGAACCAAGTCCAAGATGTGGACATCCCACAGAGAAACTCTTAGAAGTCTAACTAAAAGTATGCAGTATATTCTGTAACTTTTTCTATGGTGATGGCACTAGTGTAGCACATCTGTATTAACAGAGACCTCTGAATCTACCTGAGCGTGGTGTTTGTAGACCCTAGAGTCTTCTGGAGCTGTGATTACTTTGCAAGGAATTTTAGTGCTTTGTTTATTAACAGATCCCTGAGTCACTAACAAAGTGGTCAGTAGAAACTGGGCTGCCTCTGAGCTGGCCAGTGGAGAGGCTGATCTGGGTGGGTCTGTTTTAGATATATGTTTTTAACAGAAGAGGACTTTCTTACAATCTGCGATTAAACAGGCTTGTCCCATTTTTATATCAGACTTCTGTCTTCTTGCCAAAAGAATTCTAAGGACTTAAAAGGCATTGTCACAAATAAATTCTGAAGATCAACTTTTTGTTTATCTTTTCAATTTATATTGGCAGGGGAAGGGAGACAGCATCCATCTCGTGTAGTTCCCACTTGATATATAGCCCTGTATGATTTTGATTCCAGTTATGTTACTTTTACACCCCACCCCCTTCTCCCCAGACAGGGTTTCTCTGTGTAGCTCTGTCTATCCTAAAGATCATAGACCAGGCTAGCCTCGAACTCAGAGATCTAACCATCTGCTTCTGCTTCCCATGCCATCCCTGCTTCTGCCTTTCAAGTATGGAGATTGCAGGTGTGTGCCTTTGGGGCAGATTGAGGTGGTGCTTGGGGTCAAATCCAGGGCTTCGAGAATGCTGTGCAAGCACTCTACTGGTGTAGGAAGTCCTTCTGTTTATGTGTTGCTTTTATTGGTTAATCAGTAAAGAAACTGCTTGGCCTGATAGGGCAGAACTTAGTTAGGCAGAGAGGACAGAACTGAATGCTGGGAGGAAGAAAGCAGAGTGAGACAGCTGCCATGGAGCCACCAGAATCAGACATGCTGAATCTTTCTCAGTAAGCCACTGCTATGTGGCAATATACAGATTAATAGAAATGGGTTAAATAAGATGTGAGAGTTAGCAAATAAGAGGCTAGAGATAATGGGCCAGGCAGTGATTTAAGTAATACATTTTCTGTGTGGTTATTTCAGGTGTAAGCTAGCCAGCCGGGCGTCCGAGACTAAAAGCAGGGCCCCCACTCTCCTTGCAACACTCTACCTATTGAGCTGAATCTTCAGCCCTGTTCTTTTTTGTGAAGAAGAGATGTGGGACTAGAAAGATGATTCAGTGGTCACACATGTTTGCTGCTCTTTCTTTCAAAAGACAGTTCAGTTACCAACATTCATGTCATATCCAATGGCTCACAACCACCTCTACTCCAGCTCTAGGGGATCTGGTATTTTCTACTTCTTGGGGTACCACCATATGCAATCTTTTTTACAAAATGAATAGGCAAATTCTAAAGATAACTTCTTAAAAAAATCTCTCTCTCTCCTCTCTCTCTCTCTCTCCGTGTGTGTGTGTGTGTGTGTGTGTGTGTGTGTGTGTGTGTGGTGGTACTCACATGTGTTTTTGGATGTGGGAGCATAGAAACCAGATAAGAACATTGGTTATTCAGATTTGTTATTTTTCAGCTTATTCTTGTGAAAAAAGGTCTTTCACTGAACCTAGCACTTTATTTTTGGCTAGTATGACTGACCAGAATTTCTGGCAATTCTCCTGTCTTTGCCCCCAACAGCACTGGGATTTCAGTCAACTGTGGCCACAGCTGGGCTGTACATGGGCACTGGGGATACTAGCTCATCCTCAGGCCTCTAATTCAGGCATTCTACTTTCAGAGCCTTCTTTCCAGCACTCTGTTATTGTTAGAGCCAAGATCAGAAGGTGTTTATTAATCAAGTCTCTGTTTTTAGTGCAGATTTTCAAGTTAAGGTGGATTGACTGACCACATTCTGAAATATATTTTGCATTTTGATATTTTTATCATAAGGATGGGTTTTTTAAAATTTGGCAATATATAGAGGGTAAGTGAGCCAAAAAATTCATAGGCAAACTTACATTTATTAATAATTTGTTTCTCTATGCTGAGATATGTAAAATATACTTTCCTAAACAATTGTTCTTTTTGTTTATAAAATAAACAACAGTGGTAATTTTATAAAATAAAAAAGAATAATTTGTTTCTATTCCACATTTATTATTATAGCAAGCAAATATAAACACATTGATTTGCATTCTTAAAATAATTCTATAAAAATACAATTCTTCCTCATTTATTACCTTTGTTTCTCAAGAAAAATTCTTGATGTCTTTCCAAGGGAAATTTAATGTATCTAATACGTATTTTAAAGAAATTATATAAAAGGCTTTTTCATTATGTGCATTTTGTTTAGTCCCCATATTCTTGGCAGGTAGATCAGTATGTGCAGACCTGCATCATTACTTAGCCGTTACCACGCTGCTGAGCTGTGCTTTCTTTGCCTGCATCAAACCCTTAAATGATTGATTGTTTCCTGTCTAGCTGCAGTGTTGTGCTTAGGATAGGGTAACTGCAGGGTCGGGTAGCAGTATGTGCTTTACAATGCTGAAAGGTGCTTTCAGATTACCATCTAAATACAAGCTGAACTTTGACCCCTGCCTGTAAGGAGGCTTGCAGTGTACCTTTTCTCTGTACTTCTGCTGTTATCAGCAAACTACATTTTAAAAAATTATTTTTTGTTGCTACAATTCCAGTATATGAGCTTAGTTATTACCCCTCCCCGCAAGACAGGGTTTCTCTGTGCGGTCCTAGCTGTCCTGGAACTTGCTTTGTAGACCAGGCCAGCCTTGAACTTCCAGAGATACACCTGTCTCTGCCTCTGCTCCCTAGGGCTGGGATTAGAGGCATGTGCACTACCACACCCACCTAAAATTAAACTTTTAATTTTTTTGTTATTTTTGTTGTTGTTATTGTTTAGAGACAGGGTATCTCTGGTAACAGCTCTGACTGCCCTGGAATCTCACTCTGTAGATCAGGCTGGCCTTGAACTCACAGAGATCCACCTGCCTCGGGAATGCTAGGATTAAAGGTGTGTGTCACCACCACCCTCATAGTTATATTTTTAAAAAGAAATGTATGGGTTTTTTTAAATACCTTGAGAAATTATAAAAAATATAAAAAAAGTCAGTATTATCTTCAGTTTCTTTTTATATCTTACATATTTAGAGATGAAATTGGCCTGATCCCATGTCCTGAAGCAAGATATAACCGGAGTCCCATAGTCCTGGTCGAGAACAAACTTGGTGTGGAGAGCTGGTGTGTCAAGTTCTTGTTACCATATGTCCACAACAAGCTCCTTTTGTACAGAACAAGAAAGCAATGGCTGAACAAAGATGGTGAGTATGAACCTGTCTTCCTCCTCTGGGAGGAGCCCTGGCCTGGGGTTTGGCATTCCTGGACTCTGGTTTTCACTCTCCTCTGCACTGCCTGAGTAGGTGTTCAGCCTCTGTCAAATGAGAAGCTTAGCCTTGATTATTAGTGTTCCTGTTTGTAACCACAAGGATTAAAATGGAAGTGTCTCAGGCAAGCAACCTGCTGCAGCCACAGCAGATTTATGTGTTAGCATCCTGAGGTCATTTGTAAGATTTTATTTAAGGATGGCATCCTATAATTAAAATAAAAAAAAGTTTGAGCATCACCAAAGAGTTTTCTAGTTCTTATAACTACTTGATTTCTGACCCCTTACCTTAGCATTTTGTGGACAGCGGAACGTTTTTTCTGTGGCAGTTCAAAGGAGACAGGCTGCTCCTGGTAGCTGAGTGTGAGCCCATCTGTGGCTCTGCTGTTTCACTGAATCCCAGTTGCGATCAGGCCTTCTGGATCTTAGTGCCAAAATGAGAAAGTGAAAACTCAGAAAGGAAGGAAAGCCTTGGCCTTTGCTTCTCCCGTTGCCCTGCGGCAACTCTTTAGAGTACTGGTAGTCCCTAACAGCCATCCCACCTGGGCTAAATCTTTAGCCAGCGGTTCCTCAAGTCCAGCTCTGGCTGCACAAATTCTCCTTAGCCTTTCAGACTCACCTCGGCTCTCATTTCTGGGCAGTGCTCACCTAAGACCATGTTCTCTTCTGCTTTTGTAAAGCCCTTTCTTCCCCTCGTGTAGCACCATCTGCCGAAGGGCCAGTGCGCCTGCCTGGAGGGGGTTTTCAGCAAGACCTTACTTTCTAGACCATTTCAGCAGCTCAGTAGTCAATACCAAGGAGCTGCTCTTACCAGAAGCTGCCCTGAGGACCATGGGCAGAAAAGGTGAATAGCACATTTCCTTTAGCTAATAAATTTCAAGTTGAGTGCCAGAAAGCCTCTTTAGGAGACGCGTGCCATCAGCTGTATCATGTCGGAGTTCCCTGAGTTTTTATCACTATTGTCCTTAAAAGACTGTCCAAATAGGTCAATAGTACCTTTTCCTGTGTGGACCCTTGTCATAGTTTGATGGAGTTTTGAATTTCTGTCCTTATTTGAAAAATCAGTTGGCCTCAGTTTTAAGTTTCCACATAGCAACAGTAGCCTACAGTTTTCTTAACTGGGCAGGAGGACTGTTGTCTACTGTAACCTCTTCATGCACGTCAGACATGAGAATAGTGTCGCCTGCAAGTGATCACTGTTTTGCTGTGTTTGTGACACTCATTTGACTCCTACAACCATTTGTATTTGTAGTATGTAATCTTTATTCCAGCCACAATCTACACCTTTCCTTTCTCAGACTTCATTGCCTGATACTCCCTTATTTTGCTTTGTGTTGTGCTCATCAGCCTGGTTGCCAGCATTAGCAAACTGAATTCACACTCATGCCCCAGGAGGCCTTTCTGTCTATTTCAGGAAGCAGTGGATCTCTGCATTCTGTGGAAGTCCTTTGCTTGGGTGACTTTCATAGTGCTCACTTACCATAGAGTACTGTAGTTTGTTATTTAAACATTTTTTCCTGATAGATTGGGGGTCACTGAGAACAGGGATTATGGCTCTTACTCAGTACTTTCAAGTGCCAAAGTGTCCCTTGTCGGATTAGCAAGAATTCTTAGCTTAGTCCACCATTCAGGGTCTGTATACTCTTTAAATAGCTTTAACTTAAGCTGTTTCTTATATGCTATTGAGTATATTTTGGAAGGAAAGTAGTTTATTATCTTGAATTTATTTAATTTTAGATGCACAGAAACCATTCTCTGTCAGAGTTGTAAAACCTGGACTATTACTAGAATAGAGTCCAGCTAAGAACGTTGAACCCCTGACTTTGGTAGAGTCTGTATGTACTTTTCTTGTTCCAGTTGGAATTTAGCTACTTCCCTGTATATGATGTACCCATATTAATTTTATGCTTGTGAGATGGGGGTAGATTAGTCATACATTGGAATGTGTGTAGTAAGCATGTATTTACTGGCATATGTTTTGTATCTCAAGAGAGACCTCTTTGATTCCAAGAGTCTGCAGGACATTCAGTAGCTCATAGCTTCTGGGGAAGGCATAGAGGAAATGGCCTGCAGTCGGTGACATTTAGAGAGTGAAATCATTACAGTCAACTGTTACTGACGCATGTTTATCTTTAGAGCTTGGTTCATCCTTCCTGTATAGGACAAAGCCTTTGCCAAAAGTGTGCTAGCATCTGCTTTGCTGGGAGACAGACCTGAAAAGCCAGAGCATCAGCAGTCTGAGGTTAAATTACTTAATCTCTTTCTTCCTTTCTTCTTCCTGAAACGGAGTGCCGACTGACACCTCAAGATTTTCTTGTGGATCTGATTCTTGCATTTGTAGCCTAGTTACTTTGTCTTGGTTGGCCCATTCCTGCTTCTTACATTATACCACCCCTCCTCACTTCTTGGCCTAGAGCTTGACTTCTGAATCAGGAAAGATGAGCAGTTTGTGAAGAGGAGAAAACCCGGTTTAATGACAGCTGTCCAGGCTGCTGGTGTCTTACATCCCAAAATTCTTATATGCTGCTAGGTATCCCTCTGCACAGTGGTCACTGCTCTGCTTAGATTCCTTCACTTCCTACTAGGTGTCCACTCTTAGCACTTGTGGAACTGACTAGGATGTGCAAACTTCATAATGAAAATTAACATTCAGAATTTAATGTTCGCCGTATGTCAGATAACCTGACAGTTCATGCTTTTAATCATTTAACGCTTCTGTGAGGTAGTTCTATTGTGAACCTCATTTATAATGAGAAAACACTAACGCACAATGTAGAAGGAGACTGCTCTTTCATTTCCCTGCTGCCCAAGCCCAAATAATCACAGAAACTATATTAATTACAACACTTTGGTCTATTAGCTCAGGCTTCTGATTAACTAACTCTTACATCTTAAATTAACACATTTCTATTAATCTGTGTATCACCACGAGTCTGTGGCTTACCAATGGTAAAGTTCTGGTGTCCTTCTCCTTCAGCAGCTACAAGTCATCTCCTTGACTCCACCTACTCTCTTCCTCTGTATCTCTTCCAGCCTGGCTATATTCTGTCCTGCCATAGGCTAAAGCAACTTCATTATTAACCAATGGTATTAAAACATATTCACAGCATACAGAGGGGAATCCTACATCATCTCCCATTTTCTGTCTAAATAAAAGGGAAAGTTTTAACTTTAACATAGTAAAATTACATAAAATAAATGTCAATCAAGGATTACAGTTACAATATTTAATCTATTTGTATTTGGCAAATTAAGGAAAACACTCTATCATCTATTTTATCTTTGTGAGTCTAAAATTTTATATCTAATTTATCCTTTAGCATAACTAAGGAAAACTATAATTATAGATATCTAGTCTTCAACTCCACCAAAGACTCCATAAGGATATAATATTACCTAAGTAAACAGCAAGTGCATTGTAAGCAACTTCCAAAGTTCTGGAATTGACAGAGACATCTCACTTCTTGGACAGACAATTAAAAAAATCTTCTGTAACATTAGGGCATCCATCTTCAGCCTATAGGTCCATTGTATTCTGCAGATTTTTCCATGAAGCAGGAAATTTGAAGATCTGTTCTGCTTTGTAATGACAAAGTTCATCAGTTGCTTTCTTCTGTGTCCTGCAGAATGTCCAGCAGTTTCTTTCATGAAACTGGAACTCTGAAGGACTGTCTTACCTTTAGGCAAGTTCAGCTGTCATTGCTGTGGGTCCTGCATGTCTAGTTCATGTAGAATATCATCATGCAGTCCAGGCAAGAGGAGTTTCTTGCCCAGATGGCTAGCAAACTCCATAAGGAGCCTCTTCGATGCCCATCATCCTCTTGAAGTAATTGGTACTGCCAGAAGCAGAGATGTCTCATTATTGAGATAAGCCTAAATTCTTAAAACTTTTTAAATGCCATATTCTGTAGGTCTTTGGGGTGCTGAAGATTATCTGTCTAACTGAAATATATCTCTATATATTTAGAAAACCTAACTAATATAATTAAAGGTTTGGTTATTACAGATGACTATTAATTTGTATTTATTAACTGTATATTGCAGTTTTAAATGAGCTGCACAAACACAGTACCTTAAACAAGAGCAGAAATACATATACAATGTAGCAAAATTGACCTTAAATTTACATTAATAGATCAACATCCATATCAATGCAATATATTCATATCTGCCTTTAAATGAAAACAAACATTTATAAACAATCATTTTGGGAATTTGGGCATAGTTTTCTCCAAACTGCTTCATGCTGTTCATTGGGTGAAGTATTTTTAGGATATATGGAGACCTTTCAGGGAGGTCTTGTTTCTTCAAACCACATTAGCCTGGAAGGAATTCACAGGTTCTCATCTTCTGTGTACACAAAAGTAGAACCTCTTTTCTAAAGCAACATACCCTTAGACTTAAATTTTGAAGTCAAGATACCTTTATGTTGGTTTAACTTAGCAGCCCCCAGAAACAAACGTCTCTCTGCAGTCAAAAAATTCAAAGAAAACACAAAAATATGCATAATCCAGATGCTCTGTGGATTTTCCATCTTTATGTGGCTTATTTTTCCTTACTCCTTTAATCTATGGCTTTTTCTGCTTTAATTGGTATTTTATATTATTTGTAGTCTTTTTAAAGACTTTAATTCTTTTTATAACTGTCTTTACTTTTTTTCCTCTCCCTCCTAAGCTTATGTACATTTTTAAACACATTTTGTCTTGTTTAGAGGTTTTTTATGTTGAATTTGTCCTACTATGTATCAAAAATCCTTTTTTAACAAGGAGCGTTTTAAGATGGTAAGCAGTGTGGTTGTGGCAGCCCTGGTTGCTGGCTCCACCTCTTTTGGTCTTTCAATATGGCCGAGGTACATTTACTACCAGCTTTGGGACTGCTGGGTAGGAGCTGTGTTCACCACCTCAACTCTGGGAAGCACTGTGCAGCACATAAACCCTTTTGGTCTGAGTAAAAGCTAAATCTGCCATGCAGCATGCTACATGGCCTGGAAATGTCTCCGTGAATGGCAGCAGGAATCCACCATGCTTTCCTTCCTGTGCACAGCCTAACGTACACAATCCAGGTGTGGGTGCTGTGCCGCAGGCATGCTCTCAGCTACTTCCCTTCTAACCCCGAGCAGGCATACAAGCACCCAGATGCGAAGTGTGTGGCTGGCCATGCAGGTTAGCCCCAAACATATGGGGCTACCTTTCGTAGCCATTCGTAGAAGAATTTCGTAGCCATTCATAAACCATTTCGTAGAAGAAGACTGCTCTTTTGTTTCCTGACTGCCCAGACCTGAATAATCACACAGAAACTATATTAATTGCATCACTGTTTGGCCTATTAGCTCAGGATTCTTATTAACTAACTCTTAATCTTAAATTAACTTATTTCTATTAATCTGTGTGTTGCCACAAGGCTATGCCTTACCAGTGGTAAGGTTCTGGCATCTATCTTTTTGAGCACAATGAGACTGATTTACTTGGGTGTTTGTTTTACCCAGAACTCCCAGGAAGTGGTAAAGCAGGGCTGTGATCCTAGCACCTGCTGTCTCTAGTAAAGGAAGCACTACAGTGGTGAGCCTTCTTCCATAGCCTCTCATGGATGTGTGGGGACCAGTATTGAATGTGTGTGTTTATTAGCTCTGCCTGTGCTACTGCACAGAGGCTTCTGTCTCACTTTAGGGAGAAGAGGGGGAGAGTTGCATTAAACATACAAACAGATACAACTCTCATTGTATATTTTCTGTACTGTAGAAGGACACAGGGATCAAGAGCCAGTTTACTTAGGGAGCTTTTGGGACAATCGCTGACATCAAAGACCCCGCAGCTTCCTTTTCACATATAACCCTTCCCATGTGCTCTAAGTCTGTTCTGGGGTGGGCACTGACGACTCTTCTGAGGGTAGGAATAGAGCCAGTTTCAGTGGACAGCAATTGCCTCTTTGTGCTGTACTTGTGCTGTGCTCCATAGCGTCTCAGAGCATGCTGTGTTGACATCACACTCTCCACAGTGCTGTACCTTTACCACTGCACTCATAATCCCCCTGGGCACACTAGGAAGAATTAGTCATAGCTTCTTAGGAAGGCCCCGGGTGGTATATGCCCTTTGTTTGCCCTTTCCAGCAAGAAGATAATCTTATGAAGGGTAAGATGAGGTCTTATTAGAATTATATCAGTTCCTTAAGTCCTGGGACTGTTTAATCCTTGCTCATTGTTGATACTTAGAACTTTTGTGGAATTAAGTGAGTAGTGATGTTGAATATTATATTAGTTTCCTTGGCAAACATTAAATTAGTGCCAAAAGCTATTAAAAAACAAAAAAAGGATATGAATTAGATTGTTTTTTATATCACAGCAAGCTTGAACATAGGAACTTGCAGTAGGAAAATGTGGGTCAGAAGTCAGTGTGTGTAGTTCCTGCTTTTCAGTTTTTGAATGTTCAAAGTTATCCATAGCAGTAGAATCATAAATGCTGAACAAATGCTAATCTTATGTCGTAATAGAATAGTAGTTAACTGGACCATTTTTAAGTGTATACATAAGATAGCTATGTGTTTTCTCTTATGTTTAAAGTTTATCTTGTATTAAGTACTTCATATGCTTCATTTATCTCTATAGCCAGACATTTTATTTACAGTATAATTGATATGATCAAAATGTCAGGTATTAACCTTGTGACATACTAGTTGGTTAAAACTCTAGTTCTCAGGACTGGAAAGATGCCTCAGTGGTTAAGAGCACAGACCACTCTTCCACAGGACCTGGGTTTGATTCCCTGCACCCACATGGTGACTCATAACTGTGTAACTCCAGTTCCAGGGTATCTGATGACCAATTCTGGCCTCTGCAGGCACCAGGCACACAAGTGGCGCACAGATGTAATACAGACAAAGCGTCCATATACATAAAATAAAAATAATCTTTAGAAAGCCTGAAAGTTTCATTTTCCTGCTGTAAAGTTGAACAGAAATGGCTTACATCTATGAGAATGCATGAACTAATGTGAACAGAGCATTTAGTATTATACTGCTTCCACCAGTGCCGCAGAAGGTGTAACCACAACTTCTATATTGTATTCACGTGGTATTTAATACCACTGGTGCCATTACCTACTTTAGCAATGTGTCTCTAGATCAGTAATAGCAATTCTAAAATTGTCTCCAATTTTACTAACAAGAAAGTATCCAGATTTCATCAATTTTTAAAAGCAGGTTTATTGAGTTTATTTGTATCCATGTTTGGTGAATATGAATAGCCTAGACTCAATAAAGTAAAAATAGTAAAAATAGTAAAGAAAAATGAAGACTGAAGTAGAACTTATATGGCATTTATAATACATATGATGTATTTTCTGGAAAATAGAACAGTCTTTAAAAACAATTAGTGTACTTTTATCATTGCTGTTGCTATGTAAAATGTGTAGAAGAAAAGGAATTTTTTGCAGCAGAATGTAAATTGGATTATGGGTGATTTTTCTCTCCTATTTTCTGAAAACTTCTTAGTTAGTGCTCGAGACATTAATAGAATTATGAATGGTGATTTCAAAATTATTTTTTAATGCAAATTAGATTACTGTCAGATTTTCTAAAAGAATGGAGGATAAATTATTCTCTGTGGGCACACTGTAAAGTTGTTAACTTGAAATAATTGTACAGATCCCAAATAGAAGAAAATCCTGAGGATAACAGCCCCACCACTGCCGCCTTAGGAGAGCATGTTTGTTATTAAAGTTAATACGGCCTGGATACAGGTTGTAACGAGAGTGGACAAGGACCCTGGAAGAAAGTAGGCTTTGACAGGTAAAACTGTGTTCCTAACGTGGCTCTCTTTATTTTAGAATTGATAGATGTCACCTGCACCCTGCTACTTCTCAACCCAGACTTCACCACCGCATGGAATGTGAGGTATGCCATGTTCTTCAGTGGTAAGGTGAAGCTTCCCCAGACTTCTGAAGGTGTAGAGCCCTGTGACCTTGTTAGCTACTTGGAAATGAAATATAAACCATAGCATCCAGTGTTTGCTTCTTATACAGATTCTTTATAATATCTCCATGACAGTTCTAACACATGTACTGTACCTTATAACTATCTTTTATGCAAGCATTTTTCCCTAAAATATAGATTGTCCTGCTGAATTACAATATACTGTTGGATACCTGCTTTGTTTTCTTCCCTTATGTGGAGATTACAGGTATTTTGTATGATTGATTGAACTACTAGGCATTGCTTGAGAGTTGAGCTCCACTGGAGTGAAGGGAGGTACATGGGATAAGGATTTAAGGCCCAGGCCTGTGGTCTTCATTTACCCATAACCATTTGATGCTATGAGACAGCCACTTAAATGTCTGACATTCAGGGCAGAAGAATGATTGCATGTGATTAACTCAGACAAGAACTTTTTTATTGAAGAGTTTTTTGTTTTGCTTTGTTTTTCAGTTAAATGACCCAAATGTGTATATGAGCTCCAATCAGCTGGTATTCATTAGACTAAAACAGGTTCTTTTGAAGGAAAGTAGGGTGTGGATGATAAGGAAAAGTGAAGTCTGTTGAATGTTCTATTTTAAAATTTCCACAGGATAGGGCCATACAAATTATAATTCTTTATCACTAGAGATGATTTAAATCATATTTTGCTTAACTTTCTGTGTGTTTTAAACAAGGTCCTATTGTACTGAATTTTGTATTTATAATTGATTTTTAAGAATTTTGGTAACTTCCACATAGACATGTTTTTGAGATGGCTATGATTAATAGTGATGGTTCTGAAGCTCTGAGCATTTTTTACACCTCTCTGGACTTCAGTCATCACGTCCGTTGAATTAGGATATTTGATTGAGCCATATGAAACTGTCTGGTCCCTAGTAAAAGGAACTGGGCTTACTGGAGAAACGGCTGAGTCAAAGGCCAAGGCAGGAGTCTACAAAATGGGCCTAGAGCATCTGAGAGCGAGAATGTAAGGAAAGAACCTTTAAAATTAAAATGCAGTTGGAGCTGTTGAAGGGTACAAGGACCAACTGAGAGAACCTCTGGAAGTAGAAACTGGAATAGCATTCAGTCCTCTCTGTTTTACCCTGGGAAGATGCATTCCAAGGCCCTGTGGCTTCAGACCTGTGGAGTGTCTGCTCACTGTAGATAGCATGACACACTGGACAGAGGATTCGCATCCCAAATCATGTAACGTGAGATTTCATCAGATGCCCAGAGCTACTTGTCATTTAAGATTTAGAAATTGTTTCTGGAATTTTCCATTTAAAATGTTCAAACCATGGTTAATTGTTGTCTTAGTTAGGTTTTTATTGCTGCTATAAAACACCATGACTCAAATCAGGTCAGAGAGGACAGCATTATTTCAGCTTAGAAGTCTCTCTCAGTCGTCACTGAAGGCAGTCAGGGCAAGAACTCAAGGAAGGAGCTTGGAGGCAGGGACTGAAGCACAAGAAATGGAAGAACACTGCTTACTGGCTTGCTTCCCATGGCTTGCTCAGCCTTTCTTACTCAGGACCAGGATAGCACAGCCCACAGTAGACTGGGCCCTCCCATAGCAATCATTAGTCAAGAAAAAAAAAGTCTTGCCCATAGGCCAATTTTATGGTGGCTTTTTCTCAGATAAGATACCTCTTCCCAGATGATCCTAGCTTTTGCCAAGTTGACAAAAACTGACCAGCATGATAATAAACTGTGGCAATGGTTGGTTTTGTGTCTCTGGGACAAGAACTGGGGATTTGCATATCTATTGAGTTACAGATGGTGTCAGTGTGATGCTGTGAAACACATAACCCCAAGCCCCACCATTCCAGCAGTCCTTCCCTCCCCAGCACCAAGATTGCAGATACCTACTGTGGTGCCTGGTTTTTGTTGTTGTGGTGGTGGGGTGTTTGTTTGTTTTATTTTAAAACAATCTCTTCTCATTTTACATACCAATACCAGTTTTTACCCCCTGCCCTGCACCTTCCTCCCACCCAACCCTGCAGAGTGGGTAAGGCTTCCCATGTTCCCATGGGGAGTCAACAAAGTCTTTGAGGCAGGACCAAGGCCCTCCCCCCTATTTCTAGGCTCTGAGCAAGGTACCCCTCCAAAAAGAATGGGCTTCAGAAACCCAGTTCAGGCACTAGGAGTAAAGTCCTGGTCCCATTGCCAGTGTCCCCACAGACTTCCCCAGCCATACAACTGCCACCCACATTCAGGGGGCCTAGTTTGGTCCTATGTAAGTTCCCCTGTCAGTCTGGAGTTAGTGAGCTCCCACAAGCTCAGGTCAGGTGTTTCTGTGGGTATCCCCATCACGGTCTTCACCCCTTTGCTCACATGATCACTCCTCCCTCTCTCCAACTGTACCCTGGGAGCCCAGCCCAGAGCTCTGCTGTGGCACCTGTTTTTATGTGACTTCTGGGGATCCAGCTCAAGCCCTCCCACTTACGTAGCAAGCACTTTGCTGGCTGAACTGTTCCCTAAGCCTCTCTTTTTTGTTATCCATTCTTTAATAATTCTTAGTGATTAACCATGAGATTTTATTAAAAGAATAAAAATGATTGACTAGAAAATTAATACTTTTTTTCTTTTGTTACAGGAAAGAGCTCATCCTTTCTGGCACTTTAAGTCCAATTAAGGATCTACATCTGGGAAAATTGGCCTTAACTAAGTTTCCTAAGAGTCCAGAGACATGGATTCACAGGTATAATTGATAGGTAGTTTTGTATCCCTGTTCAGTATTCAAGATCACAGCTTATGAAACACTGTTGTGTTTATTCAGAATTTGAATTCTAAAGTCACATTACTTACACTTGATTCTAAGAATGATTAGTTGTTACCTGAGTGTCCATGGTACCAAGTTTGAGTTTTCACATTATAAAACATGAGCAATAATTATACTTGAGCCATAGAATTTGTAGTTCAGTGCTCCTAAAGAGTGGTATACAAGCCCTACTACAATGCCCTGTACATAGTAATTGCTCAGTAACGTCTGTTTCTACCCATCTGTAGCAGTTTCGGAAATTGTATTTAGATGCTTAACTATAATACATGGTCTTGTGTTCCTAGTTTAAAAAAAAAAAACAAACTAAATTTTAAAGGAGGTTAAGGGTAATTGAGGTGATTGGTGTATGGGCTAAGTGAAAAACTATTAAAATCATAATGCAAGGAGCATTTTTAGGGTGAGAACCTGAGACAGTGAGGATACAGCTCCAAAATCTGGAAATTCTTACTGGAAAGCAGGCTTGTCTGAAATCTCTCGTAACTCTGCTTCCTTGACTAAATGCAGTGGTGTAGCCTACTGCCGTGGTGTCATAGGAAGTTACTCTCAGGAAGGTTGTCCTAATTACGCTTCTAACATTTCTCAATTGTGAACATTGTTGGGGTCCTAGGCGGGCTTAAGGTGTCATGACTGTAACCTTGCTTTTGGCTACTATTGTAAGTTTGCTTTTAACAAACCATGGTCAGTTGTATTTTCTTCCTTACCAGAAACTGGCATGGTTTTCCCCAGAAAGCCGCTGGTTTTGAGGTGGTGGTGGGGGCTGATGCCAGTAGGCTGATAGTAAATACGCATCTCAGTATTGAGGGTCTGTGATTTAGAAACAAACGTGTTTTGTTGTGAAACTTCATTGTTTAAAAATAAAATGAATTTTCATACTCATTTTTTTGTACCTTTGGGTTAGAAATTTCTTAGTTTGAAAGTATGTCCATAAAAATACAAACTGATTAGAAATCCTTTCTGTTGCTTTTGACTGAAATGTATGCAAATTATACATAGATGAAAGGAGAGTCTGTGACTGAGGACATTTAAACCTGATGCTTCAATGTCTTTTCTTTCCTTCTACATTTTATGCTGTAATATCAAAATTCTGCTTAGTGGAAGCTATCAGAATGAAACTTTGTTTGCAACAAATGTGGATGAGGCATGCACATATAATTTAAGATACAAGTCTGCTCCCTCGTGCCATAATCCACGGCCTGCCCTGCACCTAACCCACCACACACGCACGTAGACTGCTCCCTGTAGATTTCCTGGCCAAGGAGATTTGGAAAGTTGTCATTTTGGAGCTAATGACCTCATTTTGATAGATTTGAAAGTTTTAGAAAAGTTTCTCTTTCCTTTTTGTCATTTTCATGTCCCTTCTGACTCGTATTCCTAAGCTGAATTGTATTCCTGAACACAGTAGTAGCAGGTCCCTTGACATCCCCATACCTGAGCTTATAGATAACTATTATTTTGCATCTCTGTATGTGGAAACTAAGAACAAGGAAAATGAATTGCTTTCCTCTCTCACTTGTATTCTTTCCTCCTCTTTTCTCTTTCCCCCATGCCATATTAACAGGCGCTGGGTGCTACAGCAGTTAAGTCAGGAAACTTCCTTGCCTTCTTCTGTGGCCAAAGGCAACTTAGGAACAGTTCCTGCAGAGAGGACACAGCGAATACTACAGGAAGAAATGGAAGTCTGTGGTGAGGCAGCAGGACGATATCCCAGCAACTATAATGCCTGGTCCCATCGCATCTGGGTTTTACAGAATGTGGCCAAGCTGGATCTCAAGGTAGGACTGTTATTCTTTCCCCGTGGCTAGCCCTGACAATCCACCCTTTATTTTTTTTTTTCTAAACAATCCACTCTTTAGATCTTTGTAGTAATTTATCCCTGAAAGTCATGTTCCAGCAGCCCCAGAGGATCAAAAAAGTTTTGTTTTCCAGAGAAATCCTCATAATTACAGAAGGGTTTACATTCCCCACTGGTGGAGCTTAGGATGCTGGTAAGGGAAATACACTGCTAGACCAAAGGCATGCAGAGCCAACTCATTAAGATTATTAAACTGCTTATAATTGAAATTATTCATGATGTTCTCTAGATACATGTCAATAAGGTAAATTTACAGGCATTCTTTATATCCTTCACTTTTAGAAAGGAAAGGAGAGAGCAGGGATAGACTTGGCAGAACTGTAACTCACCTTGGGATTGCAAAGCTGCTCCCCAGGCCTGTGATGTCAGAATGACAGTAGGATCTGCACACAAGGTCTTTCCATAGGTTCAGCATGGCTCTCACAGCCTATCTTTTCTTTTCTTTTTCTTTAGAAATGGGGAGGGGGAGTATTTTTTCAGAGTATTTTGAGGCTTAGCCTTCACCCCAGTTGAATCAGTTGGGACATGTAGTGCTCATCTGTCAGAGGGATAGGCTGGTAGCCCCCCAAGTTCCTTTCTCTGTTACAAAATTATCGCCATTTTTCCTTTACTGTTTATGGTATTAGGATTCCATAAGAATATTTGGTGCTGTTCTGAAAGCACCAGGGTTGAGGCAATGAGAAGAGGTGAAGTTGAAGGTCAGCGGGCCCAGTGGTGACTTAGGTTCCCAGAGAGCCTCCTGCAGTTGTGACCCACAGCAGTGTCCTCTTCTCTTCCCAGTTCCTCTTACCTCCTTGTGTCCTAGTGAGAAATCCTCCAGGGTAAATACAGTTGTCACTTACAGGGAGATTCAAGCCAACTCTTATAGAGAAGTAGACCCCTCCTTTTCTGTTCACACAGCAGAGTTTCGGGGGCGGGGTCCCCAAAGGAGTCGGCAGAGCAGAGGCTTAGAGTCAGATCAGCCTGAGTTCCTATGTGAGCCCTACATGGAAAGTAACTCTTTGAGATTTTATTTTTAAAATAAGGGCTCTATTGTCTGCCTTGAGGCCACTATGAGGATTGCCTGAGTTACTATGCTGTGAGTACTGGTTCAGAGGTGGGGGGACTTTTTAAGAGGAAAGTAGATAAAATGGGCTAGCATTATTTCAAGGGTAGAAAGTTGAAAATAGTATCTTAAAGTGCAAGATATCCAGTACTGGCAAGAAGATGACACTGAACTCTGTAAGTCTTAATAAAAGGCAACGGGGTCACATTTAGATTTTAAAGTAGGTAGAGTCATGGTAGTTGTGTTTCTGGACATCATCGTAAAGAAACAGTAGCGGAGATAATGGATATGGTATGGTAATTAAAGGTGCTACTCAGTGATCATACAGACCTAATTTTTATTCTAACTGTTCTACCAATTTGCTATGTAGCCTCAAGGAAGCTACCCAGCCTCTCTAACCACATGTCCCTGCCTATGAAAGGAATATGATGGTAATTCCTCAGCAGCTGCCCTGCAGGTTGTCCGGTGGAGTGATGTACATTGAATAGGAGGATCCACATAGAGTGGTAGTCACCGTGTTCTTCCCTATTACACAGTAAACACTGCTGTTAAATATGAAAGCATTTATAATTGTCCATCACAAGATGGAGTATTTTAGTCTACTTAAGTTCATACTTTATTAGATTATTTAAGCAAAAATGTTTACAGTAGGTTATTGGCATAAAAGTAAATATAGTGTAGACTTTACACAGTTTTAGGACGTTGGCATTTAAAGAAACAAAAATACTTTTGAGTGGTTGGACAGAGTCTGGAATGTAATTAATGTTTCCCAGGTGTTCATCTGTACACATAGTGTTGTTATGGTTTGGTTTTTTGTTTCTTTGTTTTTAGTAAATAATAGTGATTTGGTCTGAAGATAAGTTAGAGAGTAACATGATTAATGGTGCTATGGGATAGAAACATGATGTTTTACTTTATGTTTTATGTTTCTGTGCTTAAATAAACACTTGTGTGTTTAATAATTTTAAAAATATTTTTGAAGGGGAATAGAATAGTATAGATGAACAACATTTATTGTGACTAGGCAATTAAAAGTTGATTTTCATTTAACTGAAAAAATATAGATGTACAAATGTCTGATAAAGACACAAAAGACATTTGACATCATTAACAAAGGAAAAATGCACATCATAGCCACGATGAGTAAAACACTGCTTCTTACTAACTAGAATGGTAATAGTAAAGGCAGATAGTAGCAAATGTCTGAGCATAGGAGAAGGGGCCCATAATATAGCTAGTAGGAATGTAATCTAGGGCCATCACTTTGGAAAACATCTTAACATGAGAGAGAGAAAACCATAGGGTTGCTGTATATAGGAGGGGCCAGGTAGAGTTAAAACCAGTAGATTGTATTCTTGGAGGAAAAGAATGGCTATTAATGCTCCCACTGCCCTGTTATGGAAAATTTGAGGCATGTTCATACTAAATCCTGAGTGAGAACGTTCATTGCCTCAAACTATTAACTATTCAAATATGAGAAAAGGAAAATCAAAGGTGACGCCTTGATAAAATGCACTGTTGACCATAATAATGGAATGAGATACTGGAATGCTGTGTGATGTAGATGAATCTCAAAACAATTAAAAGTAATCAGATTCCAAATCATACCATATCATTCCATTGTCCTACTAAGTTCAGATGGCCAAAGATTATTGAGTGCCTGAGACTAGGAAGTGAATCCCCATTTATGCAGGGGCATGTATGTAAAAGCATTTGAAATTAGCAATAATATCTACATAGTTCTGAATATACTAAAAATATTGATTTATTTATCAATTTCAAAGCTTGGTTTTGAAGTTGATTAGAAAACACCTAAGAAATTAAACAGACACTATATCATTATATATTTAACTATGTTGAATAATTAAAACATAGAAAATATTTTTATCAAAAGCATAGAGGAAATTTTTCCTAATACTAAGTTTCTTAACATGCCTATAAAGGTACAAGAAGCTTGTAGAACACCAAATATATTGGACCAAAAAAAGAAAGTCCCCCCAACCACCACATAATAATCAAACACTAAACATACAGAACAAAGAAACACTATTAAAAGCTGCAAAGTAAAAAGGCCAAGTAACATATAAAGGCAGAACTATTAGAATTACACCTGATTTCTCAGTGGAGACTTTAAAGCCAGAAGGACCTGGACATAATATCCTGCAATGTTGTAATAAAGAGGTGGCTTGTTCATTTCCCGGTTGCCTGGCAGCTCAGACCTGAAATAATCACACGGAAACTATATTATTTAAATCACTGCTTGGTCCATTAGATCTAGCTTCTTATTTGCTAACTCTTACAT